TGTAAATAATTGAAACATCAACTGGGCAATCCGGCCTTAATTTGGCTAATTGATAGATTCAGGGCAAAGTGCCCGACGCCTATTTAATTTGCATATGGCCTCTGGCCAGGTGTGTTTGTGTGCAAATAAACAAAATTGAAAGTGTTAAATTGTGTAAAACAATTCCACGCATACGTAGCCGGGCCAATTGGCAAAAAGTGCGGACGACATTCTATTTTAGCAGCAGATCGATTTCGGAATAATTCAAAAATTCAAACTGTTCGTCCATCAATAATAATTTGCAATGCAATAGCAGCAGCAAACAAACAACACAACACAACACAACAAACACCATGCCTAAGTCAGAGAGTGAAACGCCCTGGCAATGCAAATTGCTATTCAAAATAATATTATTATTGATGCTGCAACAATACACAAGTGGTAAGCTCTACATTTTGACATGCAAACACAGTTGCCCGAATTTAACGTGTTCTCTCTAATGGCCAGCAATGTGCAGAGGCACCTACTGCAGTCAAATAGTAGACTTGAAAGTCGATAGCCTAAATGCATTTAAATAGGTTCATGGTTAACATGGATGGCCAGTTCGTTTGGGCTTGTTTAATTAACTATAGTTGAACTTCAGTATTTATAATATCAGAATACAAATTGAGGCAGTAAAAGGCAGAGCTGTCAGCACAAATTATGGATTCAATCAAAGACTGCATAGATAGAAATTCATATTAAAAAACAAAAAGAAAATATGGGTCGATAGTTCGATTTAAATAATAGTTCATAGTAAATAAATATAGAAAACACGCAGTTCCTAATTTAGTTTAATTCAAGGAGCAGCTTCAGGTCAGGCACATGCAATGTATTAAATTTTATAAGCCAATAAATACATATATATACGAATATATTTATTTAAAAAAAAAAAAAAAAACAATACAAATAACCTTTATTAAATGACAACAAATTAAAAACACAAAAGTTTCCACAATTTTCTAAATATAAATTAAATTTTTTATGACAGACCTACACAGAAATTAAATATAAAGAAAAACGAAATAATAAATTTACAATAAAAAACAACTAAATTTCTAGTTTGAAACAGTCAAAGTCAAGCCAAATGTACTCATATTTTATTATCAACCAAGCTTGGCTGGCGTGATGCGTCAATTAAAACATTTTTGCACTTGGAATTTGCATTGCATAGTTAACTCTAAAGATGTTTGTGTTTTAGTACAAAACCAAAAGAGCCAATATCAATTTACAATAGGGTGCCAGAAAGAGAGGCAGAGCGAGCGACAGAGCGAGAGGTAAAGAGCTGCGCGGCTTTTAAGTTTTGCTTGAGAGCGATTCTGATGCCTCGACTGAATGTTAGAAATACTCAACCTTTACTATTGTGCGACGGCTTACGTAAACAATTAACTAGAAATGTAAGTGCATGACTTAATTGTTTAATAAAAATTGATTTAAATATTTCCTGAAAAACTCTGAAGCTATAGCATTCATAGGTAAATACATATATATGACTTTACCTAAATATCGTTTATAATGAGTAGGCAAAATTTAATATTTTAGAAGGTTTAGTTAAGTCTTCATTCATAAGTATATATACATATGAGTTTAGCTAAAGTTTTTTTATAATGAGTAGGCAAAATTGAGCATATCTCAGCTTATATCACAGTAGATAATCTTAGTATAAATCGAAGGTTTAGTTAAGTCTCCCTACTGATGACAGTTCAACAATTCATCATTTAGTTAACACAAATTGTTTTCAAATATATTTCTATACATATTGTTAGTTAAATGCATGCCTAATTGTTCAGTTATGCATAGATAGCTCGAATTATTCGCATCGATGATCATAAAAACAAGTAACAATTATAGACTGCACATTTTGAGTCGTGATCTCGCCCGCATTTGGTTTTTGCGTAATTGATATGCCCAATCCCACACAGATATTGCTCAGGTAATGTGCAATTTGTGGAATGTTTGGTTCTCAGTCATGCGCAGCGTTTGTGGCTCATCGCAGCTATTTGGAAGCTGATTTTCCACTTTTCTATTATAGATGCGCTGCTGCTCAAGTGTCCGCTGCATCAGTTGCAGTTGCAAAAAATTGTCGGATTCCGGCCGCCACTCGAGTACCTTAGCGAACGGAATTTGATTTATGCCCCGCCGATTGCCAGCAATTTCAAGGATCGGGATCGACGCAGTGGCGACTATGGCCTGGGCGAGCGTCAGCTCGACGAGCAGCCCGCGAGCCATCTGTGCTGGCGCAGCTGCAACGAGGATCCGGACTGCATTGCCTATGTACATCTGCTGGACACCGATGAGTGCTACGGCTACTCGTATTTTGAGCGCAGCTCACGCTACCTGCCCATCGGGCATGACCTGCCATTGGTGGCCGATGGCGAGGCCATGTTCTACGAGAAGACTTGCTTGCGGGGTTCGTATTCGTATTGTTGCGTTCGCTGGGCGTCTGCAGCCTTGGTCAGCTCTATTCTTATTCATTTTATTGCAGTGCCCGAGGCATGCAAAGGTCGCCTCTGGTCGCTCACCAAAATTCCAGGCAACAGCTTGGTGTTCCATGGCAAAAAGACCATTTCAACGCTGGTCACGCGTCGTGAGTGCGCCGAAAGATGTTTCTTCGAAACGCAATTCGAATGCCTCTCCGCCTCGTTTGCCCCGTCGTATCGGAACAATCGTGAGCGGTAATTGACAGTTTGTAGTGTGTTTCTGCTTAAATTAATTGCCATTGTTATGCATTTTTAATGCGAAAGCATTTCCATTGGATTATGATATCACTGTGTGAAGTCATAAATCATCGCTTGATACATTTGTAGTTCGTCCGGAACCCATCAGCTGTAACGCTTCTCAATGTTCCATCTCCTCTGCCCGCCCGCAGGTTTCGCAATGAGGAACACTCCCCACGGCCGCTCGTCACACTGGGTCGCTGCACGCTGAGTGACAAGGACAAGTCCATACAACCGGATGCCTTTCGGGCGGCGCCCTATGACGAGGAGTACATGGAAAACCAGTGCTATGAGCGGGCGATTGAGAACGACAACTGCTCCTATGAATTGTATGCCAACAGCAGTTTCATCTACGCGGAATCCAAATATTTGGGCCTAACCCAAAAAGAGGTGCGCCCCGTTTGTAGCGCTCGAGCTGACGCGCCTTATGATTCGAATCGATTGGCTGATTGATTGATGACCTTTTTGGTATTACAGTGTCAGGCCCTTTGTACACACGAGTCTAAGTTCCACTGCCAGGGCATATCCTTCTACTATCTAAATCAGCTCACCCGTTCCGAGTGCTTGCTGCACTCCGAGGACATCGTATCGCTTGGCCCGCGTAGCCTTAAGCTGCGCGACAACTCGGTTTACATGCGTCGAGTCAAATGTCTGGATGGTGAGTTTCATGCGAAACTCTCTAAGGGGCCTTTATAATTACCTGCCTTTCCTGGCATACAGTGCAGGTTTTTTGTACGCGCGATGAGATGAACGTTCGGTACAAGCCGAAGGACTGGTTTACCGGGCGCATGTACGCCAGCATGCATTCGAAGGACTGCCAGGTGAGCGGCACGGGCAATGGGAGCTTAATGCTGCACCTAGACATCGGCAGCGAGGCCAAGGAGAATCGGTGCGGTATTCTGCGCGCCTATGAGATGACACATACATATCACAGGTATGTCAACCTATATATAGCTAAGCCAGAACTCAAATTTCATTGCTTGCAGAACCTTCATATCCGCACTGGTAGTCATACAGAACAATGCGAATGTGCAAACCCAAGGTGATCGGCTCATCAAGGTCGGCTGCATCCTGAACAACGCTACGACCGCAGTCGACTTGGGCGTGCGTGATAACAATGCAGATGGCTCGGAGCAGGTGCCCAGCGCCATTGCATTGGAGTCCTCTCTAGAATATGCCGAACAGTAAGCACTCTGTGCGCAACTCCCTTTTATGAGAACTTGAAAATCAAAACCGAACTCTTACAGCATGTTTCCCCAGGAGGGCGTGGTGCACTACAACAGCAACACTGGTCCCCATCCGCATCCGCAGATCACGCTTCAAATAGTGGACCTCTCGCAGCAGCATGGCACAACCGACGTGCAAATTGGCCAGAATTTGGAGCTGCAAATTGTAGCTGAATACAGCATGGAGCAACTGGGCGAGCACCTCGAGCTACAGCTGGCGCCGTTGCCGGACTTCCGCGCCACATCGCTGGTGGCCAAGTCGCTGGATAATCAGAACTATGTGCTGCTCATAGATGAGCGAGGCTGTCCCACGGATGCAAGCGTGTTTCCAACCCTGGAGCGTGTGCGCACACAGTCGAAAAACATGCTCCGCGCGCGCTTTCACGCCTTCAAATTCTCAGGCAATGCGAATGTTAGCTTTGATGTGAAGGTACGCTTCTGCGTGGAGCGTTGTGCGCCCACCAATTGCGTCAATCTCTCGGGCGGCCTCTGGCAGCGACGCAAGCGCCAGCTGGACCGGGCAGAGCGCCAGCCGGAACAGCTCAGGGTACAGAATCCGGTATACATATCAACAGTTATGGATATGCTGCCGGATGAGCTGAACAAGTCCACGGCCGCGTCAAAGGCTAATATAACAGCACAGGTGGAGCTGCCACTCAACTATAATCTACGTGTTCACGGGCCGGACCAGACAAATAGTAATAGCTACTTGTATGGAGAGCGCGGAGTTCTGCTCATAGCAGGCATTGATGATCAGCTGCATCTGGACAACATCTGCATCAATCAGAGCCTGCTGATCGCGCTCTTCATACTCTGGCTGATCTGCCAGGTGGCGTTGCTTTTCGGCTGCGGCATGGTGCTGCAGCGATACCGCCGACTGGCGAAGCTGGAGGAGGAGCGTCGACGGCTACACGAGGAATACCTAGAGGCTAGACGCGTCCACTGGGCGGATCAAGGCGGTTACACACTCTAGTTCTTTTAATTGAGTTTTAAAATTATTTTAATTGAATAAAATTAAGCGAAACTTATACCTAACATCATGCCAAAAACAGCATTAAGAATTTTTCTTGGGATCATAGTGCTCCCACTTACGATGATTGAGAGAGTTAAAATCTTTACAGTACAAGGCAATCTGGCGCAAATAAGTGGACAGTTTCAACAGTTCCTTGTCTTTGGAGCGGTTTATGTGAGCCTGTCGAAATGGACGTATTTTAAGTCCTGACTTGGGATTCATCATGAAATTGCGTCGTATATCATCAAACATAATCGTGTTCTTGGGTGTGTACTGCTTGTAAAGACCCCATATGACGCCCAACGGCTTTACATCCACTACTCCGCGTTCCGGCACATGAACAGAGATCATGGCATTTGAGTCGAGGTAGAACATTATCTTATAGCTCTCATTGTTACTGACGCCAAGCAAGCGCATTTTCTCTTCAATCCAACGCATGCTGGTGGCTGACCAAATAACTATATCATAGTGCTCATATGCCGAGGCCAGAAACTCGTGCAAAAACGGCCGCATCAGTTCCGTACCCTGCTCTGCGGGTGACCGATGATCAAATAGTGTGTAATCTATATCTAGAACAAGCAACTTTTTGCCTTCACGTGGCGGCGACAGCTCCGCGATTTTATAATCGCGTACACGCCGCTGCACTTTGGCCAGGTACACTGCAGAGTTCTCCACGGAATCCTCCCGCTCTTCGGCGTCATCGAAGTCGTCAATCACCTCGCCAATGTCATCGGGTAGACTGCAGGCGTCTTCAATGTCCGCTTCGGTGGACCCCACCATCATCAGCTTGAAATTTGCTTTAAGCTCCAAGGCAGAAAGCTTAATGTTGTCAGCTGCCGGCTTACCTACAAGACACAGAATTTTTGTGTGTGGTTTGCTTCAAAAGTTGTATTATTTACCTTTATGTTTCAAGTTCAATAGCTTCTGACGTTCCGGACGGACCTGGGTTTTCCGAAAGATTTCGTGACGCAGCATTTCAACAGTATCCTGGTCGGTTAGGTCCGTTAATGGGTATTCCTTACCACTCCATTTTAAAACAATAACGATTTCATTAAAGTCTGTCATTTTGCAACTTCATTAAACTGTGTTTTTTTACCAATAGAAAAAGAAATTAAACTGACAAGGACAAAATACTTTTATTAATTTAATACGCACGCCAACTTTACATTTCTATACATACTTTGTTAGGGATGCTGCTTAAGCAGTTTTGTACTTTTCAAATAGAAACAGAGAATTAAAACTCATATTTTACTATATTTATCTGCGCGTCAGCAGCCGTATTATTAGTTCAGGCACCTCAGTTTACACGAAAGGTAGCAGTGAACTAGTTTTTTAATATAGCTGCTCACAACTTATCGATAACAAAAGACTAATAAAAAGTGAACTAAAATCCAGTTCCGTTGAGAGTGAGAGGGAAAGAGTCACTAAGGTCTCAGTTCATTCGAGCATCGAATGCAACTCTGTCGGCTGTCAACAGTTATATTTTAAATTATTGAAACCAGTACACAAGATTGTAAAGTAAATTTGTAAGCTTTTCAAGCGTACTACTAAAAAGTTCGAAACAAATCACTATTAATATTTGGATGCGATATAATAAAATATTAAAGCATTTTAAATGCTTGTTGACTATAATTGTAATAAAATAGAATAAAAAAAAATAGAATAAAAAAGTTTAACAAAATCAAATACACAAAAACGCTGAAAGCTAAAAAAATTAATTTAAAATGTTGACAATTTATTTGGTACTTTTCCGTTAAGAAACAGTATGTAAGTATATACCGATCTTGAAAAAAAGAACATTTATTCACAAGTTATACATGGTCACACTAGTTGAAATTGAATACAGCCCCAATGATCGCTCAGCAACCAAGCAAGTTGCTCCGTTTGTTCATCGTCTCTCATTCTCTTTCGTAGCTGACGTAAAACTGTAGTAATCACTTCGGAGAGCGTATGTAACAAAAGAAAACCGTTAAAAAAGCTGCCTGCTTACTTTGTCTTACTCTTTGTGCTATTGTTTCGTTGTTGAAGTTAGCTTCGTGTTCGGTTACCTCTCTCTCACCTGTGCGAAGCCGTTGCAGCAGCTTAGTCGGGTCTCGGGTCACATTCAGGCAGATCGTTTGGGTTTCATTCAGTTGCGAGTGAAACGCGAAGAAGTGCAAACGTCTCAAGCGGAATATCAAGTTGTATATAAGATAGTTGCGAACTGAAAGGAGCCGACGAAGTGAAAGAAAGAGAGAGAGATAGAGATAAAGCAACACGAAGATTACAAAGTTGAATGAAGTTGATATTTGCAAAAAAATCGAAATAAATCACGGATCTAACAAGTTTAAAAAAAACGCGAGACCTGTGCATGCATATGAGAAATAATTTGCATAAAGCGTAGCCAAGACGCGCCGTTTAATTTAACCCACTTTCTAAACGACAACAACAAAAAAACAAACATAAAATCAAGAAAAATCGACAGCAACAAAACCGAATCAAATTAACAAGCAAATAATATAAGTTTTCGAGAAGAAGAATGTGCCAGTGATATCCACAAACAAATTTGTTTACTTTAATTTTTTTTACAAATTTTCACATCAAGTTCTAAGCAAACGAAAAACCAACTGGCCACTGGACCAACAATAACAAAAAAAGAAACAAAAGTTTTGCAAGAAAAAGTTAACTTGGAACGCATTGAAATCGATACCGATATCGATATCAACAGCGGAACTCTCCAAACAGTCCCCACAATCGTCTGTGAGTCATTCAAAGCCGCAGCAAGAACATCAACAAATACGCAAACAATAGACAGCAATAACAATTGCAGGGTATCGAGCGGAGCCTTTGGATTTACTTAGCCAGCGCTTAAAAACGAGTTAACGCGTGCAATCCAACCACAACAACAAAACAGTTGGTTGACCAACACTAGCGCAAAGTTCATGAAGTCTAAAAAGTTCTGACTGCAATTTCATAATCGACGTCTGCTGGCAACAATATTTGTAGGCAATTTCAACGAGCTTCAACTGCCGGTTTCACATTTCAACTAAAACAAAAGCACATTTTCACACACCAACACTCATACACACACATACAACACGTCTAGAATTTCTTGGATACTCTTTATTTACCTGGCGGGCGCATTTTTGTGTTCTCAACGCTGACGCTGTAAAATATTTGGATTTTTTTGCACTTTTGGTTAAATATTTTTCTGCCAGTTTGCATAAATACCCAGCGGGTAAGTTGACAAAAACAAGTCAATATATAAAAATTATATTTAATATAAATAAAAATTTGTTTCTTTTAAAAAATATATTAAATATGTCAATGAAAAGTCAAATTAAAAAATTTTTTTTTTAACCTCAAACGTTACGAATCAATTTCTAAGTGTGTTTTCTTATCAGCAATAATTTTGAAAAGTATAAAATATTTATGAAAATGCCTGCATAAAAGCATTTCGTTGTAATTCGAGTTTAAGATTTGATAAAGCTCGGGGGATCAGTGAGCTTAAGATAATATTTCAGCATTTGAGTAAAAGCAAATCAATCAAATCGATCATTATTAATTACTTTCTCAAAAAGAAACTAACATTAACAAGATATATGTATATATAAAATATTTAACATACTTTTACTTTTAAAATTGGTATTCTTTGTTAAACAAAAACTCAATTATTTTAAAAAATTAATATAATAAAAATTATATAACAGCTAACATTTCAATCAACAAATTTTATGCTTTTTACCACTTTCAAGCTACGTTACCTACTTTAAGTCAGGCTTGTTAAGTTATCATAAAATGTTTGACCTTTGCCAACTGTGGTCTCTCAGCATGTGGCTGAGAGCCATTCCAGCTACAGATCCTAACTGTGCAGATCCCAATACAATTACTTATGAACGATAACATTGTATTGCGAATTGCTTCGGGAGCAACAACATTTAGTTTAAGGTGAAGAATGCCATTGAAAGTCGCCGGCCCCTCACTTGAAGTTGTGTGTTTTTCCAAAAGAAAAAGAAATTGTCAAAGTCAATGGAAAATGTCAGAGCAAGCAAAAAAATTTGCGACACAAACGTGTTTTTCTAGGCGTTTGCCTTTTGTGCGAAAGATCTCGATGCGGCAGGCCAATCATCGGCTCGATCATCATTGATGGATACTTCGACCACAACCAACAACAACCATTTGCCATATATATATATTAACTATTTGCCAGCGAGCAAACAACAAATGCAGCATGTATTTAAATAGCAGACGCTTTCACAAAACGTGTTTGTGCGAGGAAAAAAATACAGAAAAACAAAAAGAAATAGCCACAAATTTGCATTTAAATTTCTACACGATATTTTAACATACACACGTGTTTTATATATATACTTTTAAATGCTAAAAAAAAAACATTTGTTCAAATTGCAACAAGCAAGCAAAGGCACAAAAAGTTTGCGGTTGATACGAAAAACTGCATTTTGACACGAACTTTTTCTTTAATATAATTTACTTGCTTAGATATTTCGGTTGAGCTTATGAAGAAGGGGCACAAAAGTGGGCGGGTAGGGCGGTAGAAGAGTCGGGCCTAACAGTTACGAAGTCAAATTTACAGTCAGCTCAGCCCAAAATAATTATGCACAATAAAACGCCGCAACTTTTCACTTTTTGCTTCTTTTTCGTTTTTGTTGCGACTTTAAACATTTTCAAATCACGCACTTTTAGTTTTTCATTGTTTATTAAATATTTACATTGTCTGGCTTTGTTGTTTACATAAGCAAAAGCTCGTAAATGCAACTCCTGTCGGTACACATGAGCTGACTTCATAAATTGTTTGTTTTTTTTTTTTTTTTGTCGAAGCGATTTGAAGACGCGCAGAAACCGCGCGCATCATTTACTTATTGGAATAAAACTGGCAAAGCAAAGTTGATCAATTGAAATAACCATACACAAGCTTCAACTTTTTTTTTCTGAATATATAATTATATAAAAAGAAAAGAAAATAAAATTCGACTCAGACACTTTTAAAAGTCTAAAGTCTTTTCAATTAGGATAAAATCATATAAGAAGCAGAGTCAACAAATCTCAAAATTATAGTTAAATTCTTGGTTAATTTATTCTGTTTGACTGGAATTCGATAATTGAAACAAATAAGACGAATCCATGCTGCTTCGTCTTTATATGCGATGTCATCTTTCCAATAGAGTTCGATTTCCTGTCTCACACTTGTTGTTGTTATTTGTTGTCTTTTATGTGTTTATTATGGTCGTGTTGTCTCGCTGACTCTTTGGCAAATAACTCAAAGCCCACAATGACCATTTTATTATTTATGTTGTAAATCATCTGCTTGTTGTACATTTCTTCATATTTTTTCTTTTTCTTTAACAGATTTTTTTCTGTTCGTTTTTCTTGTTGCTTTTTGTGCGTCAAGTTTGGCACGACAAGCGAGGGAGAAAGTTTTGTTTCTTAGTTTTTTATATACATACATATGTATAATTTTAGCAACAGCAACAATAAAAGCAACAACAAAAGCAAAAACAAAAGTAACGTTAAGTAAAAATTCAAACAAAAGGCAAAATTCCAAAACGCAGCAAAACTTTTAAGTGCGCACTGCAAACATGTGATTTATATATAGTATATATATGCATATATGTATATATAGGGCTTATATAATTTATACTTTTTGGGGTCTTATTAACGCAAAGTGGCATTAAAAACGCATAACAATTAATTGCCAAAAACAAACAGCAAGCGCTGACTACAAATTAATCAAAATACCTTAAGCTCTTCACTTGAAATGTAGAAATGTTGGGGGAAAATTGCAATTTCTGCTCTTTTTTTGTTGATATCAATATCAATAAACCATTCCGAGTGAATTATTCGGCTACCCACATGACTTTGAAGCGTTGTCATAAAAATAAAATTAGTTAATTTATGCCACAAATGTGGCGACACTTTCTACGAACCACGCCTTGCGGGCGATTGTTGCGTAAGCGTTTTTAAACGCATGCAAAACGCGTGCAGCAACCGGTGTGGCACATCCGTTGGTCGCTGCTATTACATCAACGTAACCCCCAGCTTTCGAGTCGAGGTCAAAACCGGGGGCCTGCACTTAATTATGCATCGACTGATAATTGAAGTGCTTTGCTGCCCAGCCCCCCTCTACCTTCCTCACTTACTCCAAGTCACAGAAAAGAAATGGGGCAGTGCCTACAAATCAATAATTGAGGGAAAATTGTTGCGAGCAGCCTCACGACGACCCTCATTATTGTTATGGCTGCGATTGTCTGTGGGGCTTATCACTTCAGCCTCAGCTTTGGTAATTTATGCGACTGATGGAAAGATTCTCAATTGCATTAATTCCATTTTCTTAAAATTCTGTCATCTGGAATTTTTCATTCTATTTTTGAGTGCAGTGCATGTAGAACTCTGGATAGGGAAAATATATATGTGTCTTTGAAAGAAATATATATATTTTTGAACAATTTTAAACTTCAATTATGCGAGTGAAAAATTTCCCCTAAACTTGCGTTTATCGTTTATAATATTATAACATTTTATATACCTATCCATTGCCAGCCGCACTCGAGATGCTTTAAAGATCTGCGTGCACAGATCTTGATGTGTATTCGGATTTATATCTCTGTGCTGTGTGTGTTAATTTTAATTCAATTATATTCAGTAAAAGTTTTTACGTTTTTCGGCATGAATGAGAAAATGCAAGGCGGCATAAGAAGAAAAGTGAAAAATGAAAGCGTTCTTAATTGCAAAAGACGCCATTGTAAAACCATTTCAGTTGTTTCCAACGCCTTTTTTCATTTATTTTTACAATATTGTTGCTGCACTTGGTGTAAGTGCATGAAATTTAATATTAAACAACAAACAAAAACAAGGGAAAACCCGTGCAATCAAATCGAATTTATTCGCGCAGTTGCTGAGCCAAACACGCCAGTAAGCTTCAGTTTCAACTACAGATGCAGATACAGATACAAATGTATCTGGAGCTAAAGCTGTGATTGCATCTTTCACTCTTGGCAACACTTTCGAGCCGAGCAGACATTTTCTAATGTGCATTGAATATAATTGAAAAAGTGTAGCAAAGTGTTGCAAACAAAGCAGACAGGCAATATAAATTGAATTACAATTTCAATTATGAACCGTTAAAAGCGGAAGAAAAGCCGCTGCGCTGCGGACGCACAATACAATGAGCGCCTATTGAGAAAGGCTAGCCCCCAGACAAAGCCGGCACACAACTGTAAATGAGGTTGAGCCAGCATGCGCACATACAGATAAATTTACAGATTTAGATACGTATATTGAGATACAATCTGAAATCTGAAAGCCACTTCTTAGCATATCAATCAAAAAGAACAGTAAAATCGCTTCGAGCCTCGACTGAAATGCCTGACGATCTACGGCTGATATTGGATTGAATGTCTCTCGGGTTCAATTTCTCAGATCTCTTGGCTCGCTGTAATGACTGCCTAATGACTCAGTTGTCGACCCAGCGACATGTGGGTCAACGAATTGTGTCGATAGATACGCATTTGACATAACTGACAGCAGCCGCAGCAGCAAATTGTCATAATTTTGTCCAACAAAAAATGAGCTGTCAATTTTGGGTCTTTGTTCCATGGCGAAACATTTTCAAGCGCATCTACTGGGCGCTTACGTAAAGTTTATTGCCTGCACTTCGGTAAGCAACAAAATTTTTTTGTACCTTTAAGCTGCATACTTTTCTTTTTATCGCTCTGGTCTTGCTTGGCTGGTCCTAAGAAATCACTTTCAATTTAAATACCCTGTAAAGTGCTAACTAAGTGGGTAAGATATGTTCGGTTGGCATAAGATAAGCTTATTGCATTGTCGACCTAATAAGTTAGATATAATTCATTTTCGTTTGCTTTACGACTACTTAACGAAGTTTTTCATATATACTTTGCAAGTGAAGATGATAAAGCATTTGGTAATTGAGCAGGGTATCTTCTAGTCGAATACTTTTTAAATATCATATTTTGCTCATTGGATTTCGTGTTGCCTGGTATTATTTATTGTTGACGTTGGCTAATTGTGAAATAACTTTGAGCCTGGCTAATAAATTGACAACTTAGCGGTGCTAACTTTTTTGGGTGTTGGACTTACGTATATCGGTAACCTTGAATTGCGGTTGGGGACGGTCTGCATGATTTCATCGCCGGTTCACACATACGATCGATGTCTCCTACTCGCTTGCTCATTATAATTTTCGTCGCAATCTTGATG